GTTCAATCAACATTGTACTTGAATGACATGAATGAAAGAAAAGAGCATAAACCGTCTTCTTTTGGTGAAGGATTGTCCGTTAAAGGAAATTTCTCAAAGAAAGATGGTAAATATGATATGAAAAAGGGTAAAGATCTACAAAATTTTTATAGTGGTAATGCTTATTCAATTAGGTTTTATCATTGTAAGAAGGAGGTTTATACAAGAAAGGTGTGCCCTGAATGTCTGAATACTCATGGTGGAAAGGATAATGGTAATGCATCGATTGTGCAAGATGATTATGAATCATCTGATGTCTTGGTAGTTTCCAGCAACAATTCTAGGAAGGAATGGATCATGGATTCATGTTTCACTTGGCACATGATTCCAAAGAAAGACGTGTTTGAGGAATTATGTGATCAAAATGGTGAATAATGCTAGCTGCTGAGAAACAATAGATCCAGCAAGATTGCATGAATTGAATTTGTCAGATTCAAGCTCTATGATGAGTCAATAAGGCTATTGACTGATGTCATATATATATATACCCGATCTTAAGAGGAATTTGATTTCTCTTGGTGAATTTGACAAGAAAGAATATGTATTCAAAGAAGAGCAAAGTATCCTAAAGGTTATGAAAGGGTCGAAGGAAATCTTGAGAGGCATCAAGAGGCAAGGCTTGTATGCCCTTGAGGCAAGGTTGTAAGTGGTTCAACAGATGTGGCATCCATATAACCTTTGTCTAAGACTAAGCTAGGCATAAGAGACTTGGCCATGTCATGAAAAAGGCCTAGTCGAATTGTCGAAACAAAATCTTCTATGTGGTGACAAGGTCGAAAAACTAGATTTTTGTGAAACTTGTGTATTTGGTAAATCCTGTAGGGTGAAGTTTAACAAAGGTAAACAAGGAACACATGGATCCCTTGATTATATCCATGATGAACTTTGGGGGTCTACAAGAAATCCTTCACACTCAGGTTATCCATAATTGATGATTATGCATGAAAGGCGTGGGTATTCATTCAGAATGCTAAGGATGAAACTTTTGAAAATTTTAAAAATTTCAAGACTCTGGTCGAAAACAAAAATGGAAGGAATGTCAAGAGGTTGAGGACCGCCAATGGTCTTGAAATATGCAATGAGGCTTTCGACAACTATTATGTCGCGTATGGTATTGCAATGCACATAACTACTACAGGTATTCCCCAATAAAATGGTTTGACTGAAAGGTTTAATTTAACCATTCTAGAAACAGGGAGGTGCATGATGATTAGTGCAAGATTAAATAAAGTTTTTTGGGCTTAGGCAGTCATGACAACAACTTACCTGATAAATAGGTGTCCTTCGACTGCTTTGGCGATAAAGACACCTAAAGAAGTTTGGTAAAGTCATCCATCAGTCCTCGAAAAAGTTAGAGTATCTGGCTGTGTAACATATGCTCATATTAGGAAAGACAAGGTCGTACGTAGAGCTCTGAGATGTATGTTCCTTGGATACCCTAAAGAAATCAAAGGGTATAGGCTATATGGTTCCTAGAGCCAGGTCACTGGAGGTGTATCACAAGTCAAAATGTAGTTTTTAATGAAGCTGAGATGGCTTTCAAGAAAACTGATGACGTTGGTCGAAGTACAAATATCTCTAGAGAAGAGCTGAAATAAGAAGAGGTGCATATTGAGGTGAATCATAGTGATGCTGAATTTCATAACCCAAATGAATTCAAAGAGTAAGTACAAGTTGCTGATGAACATAAGGATAATGATAATGACTACCTGCTGGAAAGAGATAGGTCCAGAGGAGTCATCAAGCCACCTTAGAGACTTGGTTATGCCGATCGAATAAAGTTCACCTCAATCTTTGCAAGTGAGGTTCTTGATGAAGAACCTATATATTACAAGAAAGTTGTGAGGAGTCAAAATAAGACTGAATGGATGAAAGCCGTAGATGATGAAATGAAATCTCTTCATAATAATAACACTTGAGAGCTGATCGAGAAACCTACAGAGGCCATGTTTGTCATTTGTAAGTGGATTTTCAAGGTTAAGAAAGGAATCGAATGAGTGATATTGAAGAAATTTAAGTCAAGGTTGGTTGCTAGGGGGTTCACTCAGAAAGAAGGTGGCGACTTCAATGTTGTTTTCTCACCTCTTATAAAGCACAAATCCATTAGAATGTTGTTAGACATGGTGGGAAAGTTCGACTTAGAACTTGAATAGGTTGATGTAAAGACAACCTTCCTGTATGGTGATCTAGATGAAATAATCCTGATGAAGCAACCTGAATGGTATGCAGAAAGAGGAAAGGAAGATTATGTGTTCAAGCTGAATATGTCGTTATATGGTCTGAAACAATCTCATTAACAATGGAATAAGAGATTCGACAAGTTCATGGCACACATAGGTTTCACTAGGAGGAAGTTCGACCAATGTGTTTACCTCAGATTTAGACTTGTAAGTTCACTTTTTATTTTGTTTCATTATGTGGAGGACATCCTCATAGTAAGCAACAATATCGGGGATGTTAGGAAGGTGAAGGCTAAACTCGATAAGAAGTTCGACATGAAGAACCAGAGAGTTTCCTTCAAGATTCTTGGGATTGACATCAGGAGGGATAGAAAGTAGTCGAGATTATGTTTATCTCAAGAGATACACCTACTAAAGATTCTCGACAAGTTTGGTATGTTAGATCCAAAGTCTGTTATAACATCGGTTAATCCTCAGTTCAATTTGACTATGACTCAAAGACCTAGTACTAAAGTTGAAAGAGCCTATATGAATAATATTCTATATGGTAGTATAGTAGGTTCTTTGATGCATATTATGGACTGTACGAGGCCACACATAGCGTACAGAGTGAGCCTTGTAAGCATTATATGGATAATCCTAGGAAGGTACACTAACAAGCATTAAAGTGGATCTTAAGATACATAAATGGATCTTTGAGCATAGTCCTTATTTATGGTGGAGCTCGTGATGATGATAACAAAGTAGAAATTGAAAGATTTGTCAAATTTGATTATGCAGGTTGTGTGGATTCTAGAAAATCAATTTTTGGACATGTATTCATAATGTTTGGAACAAGAATTAGTTGGAGAGTAACTCTTCAGAAGGATTTTGCCTTATTAGCCACTAAAGCAGAGTATATTGCCCTTAGTGAAGTTGTGAAAGAAGCATTGTGGCTTGAAGGTTTGCTAAGGAGCTGAAACTTCAAGGTCAAGCAATCACTGTTAAATGTTACAGGCAAAATGCAATACACTTGCCGAAGAATTTAGCCTATCATGAGCAAACCAAACACATCGATGCGAGGATGCATTTCGTCAGAGATATAATCGAGCGTGGAGAAGTCCAAGTGCTGAAGGTCTCAACTGATGACAATGCTTCTGATAAGATCACCAGTTCATTGCCAAGTAAGAAGTTCTTCCACTGTACGCAGTTGATAAAACTGCATGATAAAATCTAGTTTGTTTCCTTGTTAGTATAGAGTTTGTACCAATGTGTAGATTTGTGATATTTGGATCAAACTCTTTTCTCGACAAGGATAACTTCATGATTTGACAATAGTCGAAGATGTGCATGTTATAGTCGAAGTTGCAGATGTCTAAGTTAGCTTGTTGTTTAAATTAGCATGTTGAATTGAGTTAGTCTGTTGGGCCAATTCTTTAGTGTGTTAGTTGAAAGTTAGGATTTAGTTTTCTTATAAATAACATACTAATCATCACTTCTTCATCAATCCCTGATAATCCTGATCAGAAGGAAAAAATAGCGTCATTAAGATTCAATTGTAAACACTGTTCTTTAATGTATAATTGAATCAAAAATCTAGAGTTTTAGACCACTTTAAATTGTATTTTTTTTCTTCTCTTCCTTCTCTCCTTTTCTTTTACTTTGTGATTTTCTTACTAATAAAATACTTGATTATACTCCGTTTGTTTTTCTTTGACATCACTTTCTCAACAATACTTTATGTATGTAGGTTGATTGTTTATCTCATTCTTGTTGTGGTTTTATTTCTACTAGTTGATGGAATAATTATTAAGTGTAATTTTATGTTTTTTTTTTCTCACATGTAATATTATATTTTCTAGTGAGTTTGATATTCAATTTTACTATTGGACCTTTTAAATTTTGAAAAGAAGATATCAATGAAAAAAGATATCAATCTTTGAAAATGCATTTTTGTCACGAAACTTTAAGAGAAAGGTTGTGAATCTTGTCGAACAATACAAAGATACCTAGGTTGTTTAGCAAGAGATTATATCTAAAGGTCAGATTTAAGCTTAGTTTAAACTTGTTATCAACAACAGTTTCATCTAATTTTTGTCTCTTATAATCATATCATCACATTTCTTTTTGTATATAATAATCTAAGCAATAATTACTGTTTTAGACTTTTCAATAAAAATAATTTATCAAACTACTTTCTTCTCATCATGAATATGATCCATTTGAAATAAATAAATGCTAAAAAAAAATAATCTTCATTTTTCAATTTAATCCTCTAATTAATTTATTTTCATCATTCTTAATATTTGATAAAATGTATTTTAATAAAAAATATTATTTTTCACTTTTATTTATTCTATTTTTTAATACGTGTAAAATATTCAATCGAATCACTCATTAGAAAAAGGAGGGAGTAATGATGTTGATTTATTTATTTATTTTTCATAATGTGCTTTGTTTCAAAGAAAACATAAAAATATTGTACGTGTTTGCAACAATAATTTAGAAAGACTTGCATTGACTTGCTCTCCAACCTATACAAGTAATTAGTGTGGCATATTGGTCATTTAATTAGATTCCTTTGGTTTAAATAATGATATCAGCCAAAATTCGTTATGATGAAGTCCTATGAATCATGTCCTTATATTGTTCACAACCTTTGAAGCAGCGAAGAAGTAACCAAGAAACTGCGTGCTTATTGTCTTGTACTTTTTTCTTGGAATCTTCCTCTACTTCATAGTTCCGCTTGTCATCAATAAGTTGTTTTTTATTCTTAATATATACTCCTTTTTGTGTGTTAACATGGAGATCAGTGGTAGTAGCAAGAAGAGGAAGATAATTTGCTGTGAAGAGGATGAAGAAAAAGAAAAAGAAGATGAAGCGAAAATGGAGACTTTCTTTGCTCTAGTGAGAAGCATGCGTGAGACACGTGACCGTTGGAAGAACAAAATGAATGAAGATTTAAAGGAGAAAAATAGAATTGTTGGTGTTTGGAAACCTACGTTTCAACTTGAAGATTTTGCAGAAGAAGGTGCTGATCAGAGTGATAGGTGCCGAAACCGAGACCCTAGGGTTGAGATAATAGACGGCGTGTCGACTAAGAGCAATAATGATAAGGAAGATGATGCAGAAAATGGTATTGATTTGAAGCTTTCACTTTGATAATGGTGCTGCATATGCACCAAGTGACCGTAGCTAGATCTTCTGCTCGTGTGTGTGATGTAAATCATGTAATATGTAATAACGCATTCTCTATAATTAACTTCAAGTCAGTTAAAGGAATGTCTGTGTTTCTTTCATTTCAATAAATAAATACCCTTGGCAGAATTTTCTATAGGGTGTACTTTTCCCAACTGCATCAACATGAACCATAACTAGATATTGAAATATCAAACGCAACCTGTTATGAATCGTAATGGAAATATAAAATCAGTAGAGAGAATATAGTGAAATCTGAATACTAACTTTCTTCTAATTGCTTGTCTTCATTCATATGCTAAAGGGTATATAAATAGTACAACATTTTTAACACCTTTTGATGAGTCACCTATAATAAACCTAGTGAGTCATTGGCAAGAGAATACTCTAAAATTATTTAGCTTCTTTTTCTACCCTCTTTTTTTCATATTTGGTATCATGTAATCACTTAGATGTTTGGGCCTTCCTACATTTCTCTTGGCCCTAAATTTAGGAATCTTCTCATGGTCTGGATGTGCTTGTTCATCCTCTAAGTTCTGTTTCATAATATTTCCGGAGTCATCAAAACTCACCATATCTTCAAGGTGAAACACAAGATGGTGGAATAGAAATGGTAGAATATGAACATCTTTGTATAGGTGGATTTGAAGATTCAGAATGGAGTAGATAATTTAAATGATATTTGTTGTGAATCGGATACTTTAAAACTAAGTATAAATAGTTTCTTAACGATCAAGAAACACACAAGGGTTAAGGTTAATAAAGAAGAAAACGATAAGGATTGATTATTAAACTGTTATTCTTTCCTTTCTCTTAGAACAAGATTACAAGTATACAAGAATAACAAAATAACCTCTCTCTCTCTTAAAATTGGGATTTTATCTTCCTATTTTTCCTTATGACAAGATTGAGAAACTAGCATCCTATTTATAAGAAAAATAGCACACTAACCTAATGGGCTTTATAACAATTACCCATTACAAGCTAACTTAGGGTACAAGCTAACTTAAACAATTGGGCTTACAAGCAAGGCCCAATTTAGCATGCTAACAACCCTAGCAATATTGACTAATGCATGTTAGAACAAACTTCGACTACAACACGCATTACTCGCGAACAGACTTCGACCATACTAGAGTTTGATCCAACATCTCACAAATCTCCACCTTGGATCTAACTCTATAACATCAAGAAACTAGCTTTCTTCATGTAGCTTTATTAACTACATGCAGTGAAAAAACTTGCAACTAGACAACGTTTTGGTGATCATATCAGCAGCATTATGATCTGTCAAAACCTTCAGCACTTGGACTTCTCCACACTCGATTACCCCTCTGATGAAATGCACCCTCACATCAATGTGCTTGATTCGCTCTTGATAGGCTGAATTCTTCGACAGATGTATTGCACTTTGACTATCACATTTAACAGTGATAACTCGACCTTGAAGTTTTAGCTCCTTTGCAAAACCTTCAAGCCACAATGCTTCCTTCACAGCTTCAGTTAGGGCAATATACTCCGCTTCAGTGGTTGATAAGGCAATGACCTTCTGAAGTGTTGCTTTCCAACTGATTTTTGTTCCAAACATAGTGAACACATATCCAGAGATAAATTTTCTAGAATCCATACAACCTGCATAATCAGAGTCGATATATCCTTCGATTGCTGCTTTACTATCTTCACCCAAGGCTCCACCATAAATTAGGACTCTATTCAGAGACTCATTTATGTACATTAAAATCCACTTCAATGCTTGCTAGTGAGCCTTTCCAGGATTCGCCATGTACCTGCTTACAAGACTTACTGCATATGCTATGTCGGGTCTAGTACAGACCATAACATACATCAAAGAACCTACTATGTTAGCATATGGAATGCTATTCATATAAGTTCTTTCAACATCAGTGTTGGGACACTAATCTATACTGAACTTGAATTGAGGGTTTGTCAGAGTCACAACAGGCTTTGAATTCGACATACCAAACTTTTCGAGAACCTTCTGCAGGTATGCCTCTTGAGATAAGCATAATTTCAACTGCTTTCTATCTCTCTGGATGTCAATCCTAAGAATCCTGGACGCAGTTCCCAGATCCTTCATGTCGAACTCTTTATTGAGTTCAGCCTTCACCCTCATTACCTCTTCGACATTGTTGCTTGCTATTAGAATATGATCCACATAGAGCAACAAAATAACAAATGAATTACCCGGTCGAAATCTGAAGTAAACACAGTGGTCGAACTGACTTTTGATGAAACTTATGTGTGCCATGAACTTGTCGAATCTCCTATTCCACTGTCGAGGAGATTGTTTCAGTCCATATAAAGATCTATTCAGTTTGCACACATAATCTTCCTTCCCCCTTTCAACATACCCTTTAGGTTGCCTCATCAGGATTGTTTCATCTAGATCACTATACAAGAACGTAGTCTTCACATCCATCTGTTCCAGTTCAAGGTCGAACTGGGCCACCATGGCAAGTACCATTCGAATGGATATGTGCTTCACAATAGGAGAGAACACATCATTGAAGTCGATACCTTATTTCTGAATGAACGCCCTAGCAACCAATCTTGCCTTGTATCTCTTCGACGTCACTCCTTTGATTCTTTCTTTAACTTTGAAAATCCATTTACAACTGACTAACTTGGCTCTAGTAGGTTTCTTTATCAGTTTCCAGGTGTTGTTATCATAAAGAGATTTCATCACATCATCCATGGCCTTCATCCATTCAGTCTTTTTTCGACTCCTCATAACTTCTTTATAGTCTCTAGGTTCTTCGTCTAGAACCTCACTTGCAGAGATTAAGGCATAAGCTATAAGATTTGCATACCCAAGTCTCTGAGGTGGCTTGATGACTCCCATCGATCTGTCTCTTGCTAGAAGGTAGTCATTATCAATCTACTCATCTTCGACAACATCTTCTGCGTCTTCTTTAACTTCATTTGGGGTATGCAATTCAGTATCAACATGCTCCATCTCAACAGGAATCTCTCTCTGTTCCAGTTCTTCGTCAGCATCATCAGTTTTCTTGAAAGCCATCTCTGCTTCATTAAAAACTACATCTCAACTGGTGAAACACCTCCTTTGACCTGGCTCTAGGCACCATAGCATTAAGCTTTGACTCCTTCAGGGTATCCTATGAACGTGCATTTCAGAGCTCTAGGTTCGACCTTGTCTTGCCTAATATGAGCATAGGCCACACAACCAAATACTCTCAGTTTGTCGAGACTAGGTGGATGTCTCGACCAAACTTCTTCAGGTGTCTTTATTCCCAAGGCAGTCGAGGGACATCTATTTATCAGGTAAGCTGTTGTCGAAACAGCTTCCGCCCAAAACACCTTCTTCAATCTAGCACTAACCAACATGCATCTAACCCTTTCAAGGATTGTTCGATTGAATCTCTCAGCTAAGCCATTTTGTTGAGGAGTACCTGCTACAGTATTATGCCTTGTAATCCCAGAGTTAACACAGTAATTGTTGAACGCTTCATTGCAAAGTTCAAGGCCATTGTCGGTTCTCAACCTCTTAACCTTTCTGCTTGTTTGAGTTTCGACCGGAATCTTCCAACTTTTGAAATTCTCAAAAGTTTCATCCTTCATCTTCTGAACGAATACCCATAGCTTTCTGGAATAGTCATCAACGATGGATAGAAAATACCTTGCACCTGAGTGTGAAGGATTACTTGTAGGCCCCCAAAGATCAGCATGAATGTAATCCAAGGATCCATGTGTTCTTTGCTTGCCTTTGTTAAACTTCGCCTACATGATTTACCAAATACACAAGATTCATAAAATTCCAACTTTTCGACTTTGTCACCTCCTAGCAGGTTCTACTTCCCCAATTCGACCAGGTCTCTTTCGCTGACATGGCCTAATCTCATGTGCCATAATTCTGTCTTCGACAGGTTTCATGGATGCAACATTTGTCGAACCACTTACAACCTCAGCCTCAAGGGTATACAAGTCTTGTTTCTTCACGCCTCTCAAGACTTCCTTCGACCCCTTCATGACTCTTATGATACTTTTCTCTCCTTGAAAAACGTATCCTTTTCTGTCGAATTCACCAAGAGAAATCAAATTTCACTTCAAGTCAGGTACTTATCTGACTTCAATCAATAAACTTATTGACTCATCATGGAGCTTGAATCTCACAGATCCAATACTTTCAATTTTGCAAGATTTGTTGTTTTCCAGCAGCACAGATCCACCATCTTGATCATATAGCTCCTCAAACAATTCTCTGTTTGGAGTCATGTGCCAAGTGCAACCTGAATCCATAATCCACTCTTTTCTCGAGTCGTCACTTGAAACCACAAGAACATCAGATGAGTCGAAGTCATCTTGAACAATGACTGCATTGCCATTACCTCCATGATCTTTCAGGCGTTCAGGGAACACCTTTCTTATGTGACCCTCCTTCTTATAGTGATAACATCGAATACTAGATGTTTTGCCACTATAAGACTTTTGTTGACTTTTACCTTTCGTTTTGTCGAACTTACCATCCTTTCGCAAGAATTTTCCCTTAACGGTCAAACATTCGCCCACCGTCGAAGGTTTATGCTCCTTTAGTTCGTTCAAGTCCTTAAAATACAAGGCTGATTGAACTTCTTCAAAGGTCAGGGACTCCCTTCCATACAAGAGAGTTTCTTTAAAGTGAGCATGTATTCTGGGAAAAGCACACAGCAGCACAATGCTTGATCTTCATCATCGATCTTCACATCAATATTTTCAAGATCAAGAATCAGCTTGTTGAACATATCCAACTGCTTATCCAACACTTTGTCTTCACTCATCTTGAATGAATATAGAGCTTGCTTCAGGTAGAGTCGATTCACCAGAGATTTGGTCATGTACAAAGTTTCAAGTTTCACCCATATTCCCGATGTTGTAGTCTCCTTTGATACCTGTCGAAGAACCTTATCGTCAAGGCTCAACAATATTACGCTGTGGGCTTTCTCGAT